CAGCTATTAATGGGACACTTGGCTTGCCGTACTTTACGCACAGCAACTTCTCCAGACTGCGCACAACTTCTGATGTGAACTCGCACTTACGTTTCAGACATAATTAATAAAAAAAAGCTTAGCTTCTGTAAAAATTAAAAAAAATCTGAGAGAAATATTTGACGTGTGTTATTCACATTAATCACGTTTCAAAACAACGACACTAATTTGTCAAAATAACAGCGATCAAAATGTCAAAGACGGTCCGATTTACTTTCATTAAATGGATGGATGGATGGATGGATGGATGGATTGAGGTTGTAGCAGCAGGAGAAACGTGCAGGAATGAATTCAGCAGAGAAGAGTTCCACTCAGAAACATGAAGTGGGGGGGTGGGGGGTGGGGGGGTTAGGACGCTTGACAGAATCGCAGCTGCTCTATTCACACACAACCTGCTGTTGTTCTCTAAAACAGTTTTTGAATCTAGTGTTTACAAATGTAGGTAAACGTAGTCAACAACCCGTTAAAAATAGTTTGCACCAAAATGCAGGAAATAGCATCTACTTTATTCAAAAAATGAAGAGGGAGGAGGACCCACAAGCTCCCCCCACCCCCACTAGCCCTGAGTGAGGCTACAAGGAGCAGGACTTCAAGGACTTGGGGTCCACTGTCCAGGAAAATGGGGAGTGTGGTGAAGAGGAGAAGAAGCTACAAATGTGATCACTCTGCACAGCCTTAATGTTTTGGGGCATTTTTATTTGTTGTCAGTATTCTAATCGTCCTAATTGAAGGCTTGTATTTTTATTCAAAAATCGTTGGGGGGGTCACAAGCTGCTGTTTTTATGAGGAAGTTAAAAAGTTTGGGAGTCACCAAATCTATCCGCCTTGGCCCTAGTAAATGTACCGTACCTGCAGAATCTGTACATTTCTATAAAGGTGTAGTCGGGAAAGTTGAACAGCATCGTTCATGTGACGAGATGAAGAAGGAAGGAAAGCTTGAGCGTCCACACACCCGGCTCACACCTTCTCTTTTTCTCCGTTCTCAGTCAGTGAGGTCAATAAACTGTTAAAAGATCTTGACCCTAAAAAATCTGCAGGACCAGATGAACTTCCACCTTATTTCTTAAGGCTGGCTGCTC